ATCCGAAGCGTATGATAAGTAGCATATTAGATAGACCACGTAAATCAATAGTAATGGATCGAATTGTAAAAGAGACACCAGATAACAATACAATTATAATCACAGAAGGTAGTGAAATCAAAGAATTGGTAAAAGAACATTTTCACAATTGGACGAGGAAAAGAACAACAGATGCTGGGTTATTCAAAAAATGGGAGTCTGAATACACACCACTTAAAGAGATTAACAAGTCGTGGTATGACACCCTTTATAATGAGGTCAAATTAGATGAATTAGAGTTAGTAATTCAATCTCTACCAAATAACAAAGTGCCGGGGCAATCCAATCTCCAGTACGAATGGTTTAAAAACCTCCTACAAAAAGGTTTAGATATTTTTCGAAAGATAATAAACGACGCATTACTATTAAACGATATTCCTAAAGAATGAAAAAAAGGCTATATCTATCCAATACCCAAAATTGCTGAGTGGGGTAATAATTTAAATATCACAAGACCAATCACATTATTAGAGACAGGTAGAAAAATATTTATGAAAATTATAAATAACAGATTATTGGCTATTTTTGAAAAACGAGAAATTCTATCAGAATATAACTATGCTGGCTTACTGGGAAATGATACACAAGGGTCAATACATATCATAAACAATATTATGGAAGATGCTCGCACCAATAATAAAGAATTATGGCTTATGTTTCAGGATATGAGCAAGGCATTCGACTCAGTAAATTCAGACTGCTTAATTTTGGCACTACGTCGTATCAAAATATCTAAAAAATTTATAGATCTTATGTCGGGACTACTTAAAAATAGGAAAAATAAAGTGATAACGGCACATGGAAATACCGAGTCATATAAAGTGGAGGATGATATCAATCAGGGGAACATCATTTCACCATTAATGTAGAGAATTTTTTATGACCCACTAATAAATTGCGTGGCAAAGTCAAAATGGGGTTATACAATGAAAGAGAGCTGGATAAACAATCTGTATCACAAAACACAAGTGAATATTAGCTGTGAGTTAGCAGTTGCAGCATACGTAGATGATACAAATTGGTTCGCTCCTAACAGGGAAAAAATGGAAAAAATACTGGACATCACTAACGAATTTTATACGATAAATGATATTGAAATCAATAAGTCAATATTATACTTAATAGCAATCAATGCTGAAAAACCAGATAAGAACAAGAGTGTCAATATGGGCCACAATAACCTAAAACCAATCGACGGTAATATCCCTGTTCGCTCATTAGGAGTATTTGTAACTGAGAGTGGGTCAAAAAAATTCCAAAAGGAGCATATGAAAAAAACGGTAGACTACATGGCAACCATTCTAAGAGGAAAACAAATCACAGATAAACAAGCGATATATATCTTCAACGCGGTAGTCATACCAATGCTAGAATATAAACTAAATGACATGACACTCACAGAAAAGGAGTGTAATAAAATAACATCCAGATTTATAGCGGTAATCAAAAATAAAGCATGCTTGGCACGCACATCACCTAACGCTTTAATTTATACAAAAGAAGCATATGGAGTGTGCTACCTTTGGAATAGACAAGTACAAATGCAGAGTAACAATCTACTAAATCGTATT